GAAGGTGAAGGGAGAGACGAAAAAAAAAAAAAAAAAAAAAAAAGGAGAGAAAGAAGATAACCGGGGTGGAAGAAGAAAGAGGCGAGGAGAAGAGAAAGCGGAGGTTGGTGAGGAAGAAGATGGCAGCCATAACCGGGCGAAGAGTTGACCGGAGTTGACCGGAGTTGACCGGGAGTTGATCGGGAGTTGACTGGAGTTGAGTGAGAGTTGATCGGAGTTGACCAGGAATTGACCGGGGTTGACCGGGAGTTGAACAAGGGTTGACCGCAGCGTTGACCAAGGTGCAGACCGGCGTTGACCAAACGTTGACCAAGCTTTGACCGGCGCTGCTGACCATCAGTTTGACCAAGCTGGAGTTGGTATATTCTTGCCAAGCCTTCAGCCTATCCCCTCGCCCTATGGATGTGCACACACCCTGTGGTACTTGCTGAGTCTGTTTGTCTCTTCTTTCTGCATCGAGTCTCTTTTGTCCAGGTGTAGGAACTCTGTGTATGAAGGATAGGGCCTTGTTGACCAAACCCGCACGGGCTGAGTACAGCTAAGGACTGTGTCTAACGACTCGACTGTCCCGGAGGACACGAACCCTCCCAAGGACCGGTACTGACCGGCGGGCTGCTCGGTGTGGTACGGTAGGCCCAAAATCCGAGTTGTGGGCTGCACAACAGGCCATCTAAGTCTTGAGAGGACTTGCCGATCGTGTCGTCCTGTCTGCGACGTTAAATAATTCCTGAGGAGTTACGGGGGATCTCCTTAAATGCCTCCTGATCAACAGTGAGTCGTGTAGTGACGGCCATAGTTTAGGTCTAGGCTAGTGACCCTAGTTGACAGGATCCTATCCGGATTCTGTGGTTCATAGATTGAGTCAGTTAGGTTGTGTCAGTCAGGGGGTAGAAGTCTAAGTGGTGAGGAGTGGAACTATTGTCCAGTTGTGCACCTGACACCATGGTTGACACCCGTAGTGGGAAGAGCACTACCCCTTACACCCAGGCTCAAGAGGAGCAAGCCATCGCCATCTTAAGAGAGAGAAAAGAGAAGAGGGAGAAAAAGGAGCTCCTTAAGCAGGCGAAGTTAAAGATAATAGCGGAGGAGCAGGCGGCAAAGAAGAAAAAGTTGGAGGAGGAGATGAAGAGAGTACAACAGGAGGAGGAAGAGAAGATGAGGGCTGCAGCAGAAGAGGAAGAGGTAGAGGAGGAGGAGCAGTTAGAAGAAGAAGAACAAACCCTCGAAAGGAGGCGTATGGGAGAAAGAGGAAAGAGCAGTGGCACGAAGCAGGATGACCTGTGGGTGGAGAAGAAGATATCAGAATGGGTGGCTAATTTATCTTTGGGAGAAGATGAAGAGGCAATGTTGTATGTGCCTCAGGAGGAGAAGGAAGCGGCAGCAAGGGAGATCGTAGTAGCGAGTGATCCCCTGGAACGCTAGACGATAGAAAATGAGAAAAAGTTGGAATGGAAATTACGTCTGGCATTGAGAAGAAGCGGAGGATGGAGAAGGCTAACTGGATGGCCAGGGAAGTGGAAAGCTTGCAGTCATGTAGGCAAGAGGTAGAGGCCCACCCTGACATACAAGCTAAGTTGGACAAGATCCTTGGGATCATTGAGCTCCTAGGCCATGCCTGGACTGAACATCGCCAGTCTGTTAGGGGCCAAGACATGCCCTCCATTCCATCCGGACCGGGTTTCGAGAGTTTGCACGCGGCGTAGTAACTCACGTTGGGACCGAAGTGAAGAGACCGAAGGAAGGCGCAAAGAAATTATGTGCAGGCGCCATTGAGGGCGCCAAAGTAGTATCCGCGTCAGAGAGTGAGGGTCGTACCCGTAAAGAGCATGTTAAGCTCAAATTCCCTGACTCTTATGGCGGGAAAAAGGAGGAGAATTTTGATAATTGGGAGGCTAGCGTCAACAACTATGTGTATTTACAACATATTTTATCTGAGGAACAAGTCCTCGTAGCCTTCCATACCTTGAAGGATGAAGCGGCTAGTTTTGCCAGGTCCCTCGGGCGAGCAGCCAGTTGTGAAAACAACATGGTTGCATATTCCAAATTTACCCCCCTTCCTCATTTCTTCAAACTCCTGAGCGAGAGGTTCGCTGACGTCAGGAGAGGCGTCAGGGCCTCTGACAAGCTGCAAATGATCCACTCCAAGCGGTGGAAGAGTGCGAGGGCACTCAAGGCAGTGATGGACGACTTGGTTGCCATCCCGGACCATGGGGTCACCGAGACCCAGTTGTTAATTTGTTTTATCATGCCATGCCAGAGCCCCTGGGAGCGCATTTCTTTGAAAAGACCCAACAGGCCAACATTGCATATGATGCGTTCAGTAGAGAAGTGGTCCTGTTCGAGGCGAAATCCATGCCAGTCTCCACTTTCTAGCACAAGGATTTGGATAAAAGGAAAAAGTGGAAAGGGCGTACCATCCCGGGTCAGGTTAGGGCCAAGGATCATCTGAGCCTTACTTTAGATGAGGGTGGTACGAATGAAGTCCCCTACAGTCAGATTGAGTGGGGGCTAGAGGAGGATGACAGTAGTGTGGGTCAAGGGAGGACGTGCGTTGCTGTCGCGGCTGGAGGGAGGCCGCAAGGTAGAGGAGGAGGCCAAGGCCAAGGGGGCCGGGCCATGGGAGGTCGAGGTCTGGGCGCACAGGGGGTTGGCGGCCAAAAGAACCTCCAAGAGGGAGGTAGGGGTCAAGGTCCCCCGCCGAAGCGTTCGGGTCCCAGTCGATCCCCACAGCGGAGAGGTGGAGGACCACCTCATAGGAGAGGAGGTTGGCACCCAGGTTGGCCACAGGGCCGGCCTTGGGAAGATTTGGGCTTGGATCAGAGAGTGTGGCAACAACGTATGGACCAGGGGCAGTGCATTTACTGCGGTGACCCTGCCCATATCATTAAATATTGTCCAAAGTATAGGGAAGCCCGTTTCGCTGCCCAAGAGTCAAAAGGCGGCCGCTAGTAGGGGTCGCAACTGCCCTTACCACTAGGCCATGTGGGGAAGCGTGCGCGCACCACCAGGAAACTTCCACACCACATGAGCCTATGGCAGAGGTTGCAGGCCAGTGCCTAGTTAGCTTTCCGGAGACTGCCTGTGTTAGAGTCTCTCTAGGCACTTCCGTCACAGGACTGGCGGAAGAGTTGAAGGAGAGGATGCCGACCTGGGCCAAAATGAAAAAAGAGAGTAAGAGACAACTAGTTTTAGTAGATTTAGAAGTTTTCAGGAGCAGAGTGGGGCCCCTTATAGATACAGGGGCTACCCGTAGTTATATCAGTCGTAGAGCGTCGAAGAAGCTTAGGCTAGGTCTGAAAGCCTTGAAATTGGAAGACCCCATAGTTAGTATCCTCGCAGACAATCGCACAATGTGTGTCGAGGATTACGTAGAGGGAGTCCAGGCGTATCTTCGCTTAGAAAAGGATGGGAAGGTGGAGAAAGTTCTCCATTCCCTGACTCTCGTCGTAAAAGACAACCTCCCTTTCGATGTAGTCCTAGGTATGGAGTGGGGAGAGGCGGCAGGGGCCACACTCCACTTAAGAGAGCATGAGTGTAGGCTCCCTAGTCCGTCAGGCGAGGTCAAGACTGCCCGCCTGTTCGATGTGTCAGGGGTAGACAACTCCCTGGCACATTGCTGTCTCAGTGCTCCCGCGTTCGCGCGATTAGTGAGAAAGGAACGATTAGAAGAGCAGGTCTTTGTAGCTTACGTGAGGCCTGTCACTGAGCCTAAAGACGATAAGCCAATGGACCCAACCTTTGCCAAGCTGCTGGAAGAGTTTAAAGACTTAGCAGAGCCGCCGACAAGAGTAGTATCGCGGCCGATCCAGCACCGTATAAAGATAGAGCCTGGCAGTAGGACTCCTAAGGGAGAAGTCTACAGGATGTCCCCAAGGGAGTTAGAGGAGTTGCGCAAGTAGTTGGACGAGCTCCTCGAAAAGGGTTGGATTAAGCCCAGTTCGTCTCCTTTTGGAGCACCAGTGTTATTTGTCCCCCAAAAGGAGGGAAAGTTACGTAGGTGTATAGACTATAGGGGTCTGAATGCGATCACAGTGAAGAATGTTGAGCCGCTGGCTAGGATAGACGATCTCTTAGATCGAGTGCAGAGCTGCAGGTATTTTTCGGAGATAGATTTGAAGTTCGGATATCATCAAATAGAGGTTCATCCTGATGACCAGTACAAGACTGCCTTCCAGACTAGATATGGGCATTATGAGTTCATAGTGATGCCTTTTGGATTGACCAATGCGCCAACCACATTTCAGCGTTGTATGAATGATGTGTTTAGGCCTTGGTTAGATAGATTCGTCGTAGTTTATTTAGACGATATCTTAGTTTTCAGTAGGACCCTCCAAGAGCATTAGGGTCATTTGAGGCAGGTCTTGGAGTAGCTGAGAGAGGCTAACTTCAAGATCAATGCGAAGAAGTGTGAATGGGCCAAGACACAAGTCTTATATTTGGGCCACGTTTTAGGCGGAGATGGGATTAAGCCTGAGGACAGCAAGATAGCGGCGATTCGAGACTGGCCGACGCCCCGCACACTGATAGAATTGTGGTCGTTCTTAGGCCTAGCTAACTATTATAGAAAGTTCATGAGGAACTTCTCTACTATCGTCGCTCCCCTTTGCAGATTGTTAAAGAAAGAAGCCATCTTGACGTGGGACAAAGATTGTACGTCCGCGCTTAAGAAGCTAAAGCGCGCGTTGATAGAGTACCCTGTCCTCAAGGTAGCAGATCCGTCCTTGCCATTTGTCGTCACCATGGACGTGAGTCAGTATGGTATAGGCGCCATGTTGCAGCAGGACGACGACAATGGCTATAGACCCGTAGAGTTCATGTTCGTGAGGATGCCCTCAGAGAAGGTAGCTACCTCAACTTACAAGAGAGAACTCTACGCTCTCAAGCAAGTCTTGGAGCACTGGAAGCATTACCTGCTTGGGAGGCACTTCAAGGTTTATTCCGACCACGAGACCCTTAGGTGGCTGAAGACGCAGGCCAAGATGACACCTAAGTTGACTAGGTGGGCCGCTGAGATAGATCAGTATGACTTTGAGCTCAAGCCTGTCAAAGGCAAGTACAATGTAGTTGTCGATGCTCTAAGGAGGAGATTAGACTACTTTGGAGCTATAGTTCACTATATGGATATAGGGACAGACCTGCAAGAGAAAGTAAGACAGGCGTATGCGCAGGACCCTATTTATGGTGACCTCCTCAAGAAAGTTAAGGAGACCCCAAAAAACGAACCACATTACCGCACTATAGAGGGGTTACTGTTCGAGAAGACCGATGTAGCAGACCGTATGTGCATTCCTAATAGCAAGGAGATCCGTAGTTTGATCCTAGGGGAATGCCACGACACAGAGGGACATTTCGGTTGGCAAAAGACCTTAGCCAATCTGATGCATGCGTATACATGGCCAAGAATGAAAGCAGATTGCATAGAGTACGCCCGCAGTTGCAAAGCCTGTCAGAGGAATAAGACAACGACGCGTGCCCCTCTAGGTCTTCTTCGACCCTTGCCTATTCCTGACCAGCCTGGAGCTTCAGTCTCCATTGACTTCATGGATGCTAGCGTCAAGAGTAGGCATGGTAAGAGCCAAGTCATGGTGATAGTTGATAGGTTTAGCAAATACGCAGTTTTTGTTCCTTTGCCTACAGAGGCACGTACTGAGTTAGTAATTCAGAAGTTTTTTTATCATTGGGTTAGTCATCACGAGATTCCGCTGCCCATAGTTAGCGATAGAGACACCCGGTTAACTAGTCAGAACTGGCAGGAATTGATGAAAGTCTATGGGTCAAAGTTGTTGATGTCTTCTGGTCGTCATCCAAAGACCAACGGTCAGACTGAGCAAATGAATAAAATCCTGCAACAAGTTCTGCGCATGTATATTAGACCAGATCAGATCAACTGGGATGAGATGTTGCCCAAGGTAGCCAGTGCATATAACAATAGTGTGCACTTAGCCACCTGTCGGACTCCCAATGAGCTGCACAAGTCCTTTAGACCGCCCAGACTGTTTGAGGGGCTTAACCGAGATCGGATTCATAGGCTACCGCCCGGTGCTAGGGAGTTTGCGATACAACACGAGAAAGAATTAGCTGCCGTCGTTGAAAACCTCAGGAAGGCCCAACACCGAATGATAGAGCAGGCTAACAAGCACCGTCGCCCATCGCAGTTTCAAGTAGGCGACTTAGTCTGGGTCAAGTCCAAAGAGTTTGCTCCTGAGGAAAACATTTCGCAGAAGTTACTGCCAGCTTATAGAGGACCGTGGCCAGTTCTAGAAGTTAAGGGTGGAGAGGATGGACCGTCCTATATGATAGAAATCCCAACATACCTCCACACCTACCCTGTGTTCCATGCGTCAAAATTATTGTCGTGTGTCACAAGCCAACAATTTCCATCAAGGAGATCCATGATCCCTCCGGACATGGATGGAAGATATGACATTGAGGGCATTGTAGGTGAAGATGTATTCAGAACAAGAGGTAGAGGTCGTCCACAGAAACAATATAAGGTCCGATTTGCTTATCAGGAACCCAAGGACGACCGCTGGTTTACTAGAACTTAACTTCTAGAAACAGCTCCCGATATAGTTCGAGCCTACGAGAGAGAAAAGAAAGGTAAAAATCCGGTCTTGGACTGAATTATTCTTAGAGGACCTTGAATTTAGGCCGGCGGGAGTGAAACGGTATTCACCTGTTAGCAGTAGCGAATGCAGATCTCAAAGCTCGATCCCTAGTCCTTACCTTACCTTTGTACACTACCTGTGTTGACCTAGAGAGTTGAACCCGTGACTTGTGTATTCGTAACAATTGGTAGGCTGTCGTAGGTCCGTAGGTTGTAGGGGTTCGATCTGTAGACCTGTAGGATGAAGGTCTTAGTGAGTTCTAGATGTTGTTGTTGTAGCTGTTTTGAGAGGTCAAGGTCGTAGTTGCTACAGTGATTCTAAGCAACGTGTGTTTAGGGCATCATACCCTGCCGTGCACGGACGGCCTCGAACCGGCACCCTACGCCACAGGAACGAAGTATCGTAACCACTACAACCCTTGGAGGTGTTATAAAACTGGATCCATACCGGTCGTGATATCCAGCCCACCTCCAGGGCTGCAGCGTCCTTGAACACAACACCACACACCCAACGCACACCACACCACGGACTTAACAATCACGCACACTTCGTCGAACAACTACAGTGTTCGAAAGGCCAAACCCACAAACTTCCGGAAGGTCCGGAAGTGGCCTTTCGAAGTTTGCTCACGTTTAGACAGAGACAAGTGGGCAAGTGGTGAGCCCAACTGCGGTACATCGGCAGTGCGACTGCATCGAGTTGGCAGTGCAAACCCATGCAGTCAGCGGTACCGGTCCCAGTCGGTCAGAGTACAGTCAAGCAAGTACCGTGTGGGACTGTGTGCACGAAGGGCATGGGAAAGGGGCAGACCAACGAGTTACAGAAGTATACATCAAGAGGCAGCGCCCAGCCATTCATTCATTCCTGCGGAAGCCATGCGGAAGCACTGCTTGAGCGATTTGTGAGAGGTGGTCTGCAGAGCGCCTGAAGACGAAGTGGGCAGAGTAGAGGTTGCATAGCCATAGCCAGCCGGGTTGAGCGGCCCTAGCCGCCGTAGGTGGTAGGTGAGTGTAGTGTGCGAGTGTGTGTGATACAGTGTGTCGCGTGTGGGATATCCAGGGTGATCCTGAGTTGAGTGTGTGTGAACAGCGGAGTTGAGCACAGTGACGAACAGAGAGTTGTACAGGCGCTGATGCGCCATAGSCTGTWRAAGCGAGCATGTATCTGAACTGTGTTTCCGACTTCCATATCTCTGAGCTTTGAGTGGGCGCTGAGCGCCAGTGTGACTTGTCATCTGTTTGCATGAATGCGAAGTGGAAAACAAAGCGAGTCTGATTGCACATCTTTTCTTTGGTAGGATATTAAAAAGTTGGATGCTGGTTGTAGTGGGGAGGTGGTGTATAGTTTGGTGTGACAGTCTGGCAGGAAGGTTGGTATTGCGTCCTGTGGCGAGGAAGGCTTGTTAGCAGGATGGATGTAGGGCATAGCAGCGGTAGGGATGGTGGCTCTACTGTGGTACGTCTTGTTGGAGTGGGGTTGTGAAGGGTAGATGCATGGGGTTGATGGAGGACTGCAACCAGCACTTGTAGGAGTTGGAGGCATTGGAACCACTGTTATGGTGATGTTACGTGCTGCGCTTGCACACGAGGGCCATTTTCCAGGCCCTGCGTCCCTCAGACTGAAAGCCTGAAATTCAGGCTTAGAGCCTGAAAACCAGGGCCTACAGGCCCCGCGAGTGTTCAGCCCGAAAGCTTGAAAACAGGGCCTACAGTCCCTGTGTCGTTTCAGACTAAAAATGGCAATAGCCTTTTTAGCCTGAAACGAAGGGCCATTTTCGGTCGTTCATCAGAACGACCGGCCCTGAAACTCAAGCACCGAACCAGGGTTTCGGGAACAGGCTATTCTTAGCCTGTTCCCCAYRCCAGCMTCAGSAACTGCTGCAGCGCCAGCCCCTGGCACACTTCGGCATTGGCAAGAGCAGCCTCCTCGRCCTGGCTCGCCCTTCAGGCAGTYAGGAGGCAGGCCGAGGTAGTACATAGGGACTTCCCATGCACTTCACGGGTAGGCAGGAGGCAGTAGTAGTCTTCAGGATTCGGCACCAGCACTCTGGAGGGAGCGCTGCAGGGTAGTAGTAGCGTTAGCTTTTAGTCTTCAGCGCTGGGCGCAGTAGGTAGCTGTAGTCTCCAGCGCTGGGCGCGATAGCTAGGATAGCACTAGAGAGAGAGAGATTGGGCGGAGGCCAGAGGTACTTACCTGCAGTGCCGTTGCTCCAGCTTCGTCTTCGAGGTACCTGCAGCACAGCGCCAACATCACAGGTTAGTATTTGGCTCGTAACAGAGAGAGAGAGTTCTTCTTCTTCCTCTTCTCAGTCCACCATCTCCTTCTCCCCCTCTCATCATCTGACTTCACAGCATTTGCAGACTACGAGAGAAGAGAGAAAGAGCTTGGTGACATCGGATCCAGACTGGACTTTTGGACTTCAAACATTGCAACAAGGGATTATTTGGGACTTGTGACAAAGACTTGGTGTTGACGACATTCCCATCTCTCTCCCTCCTTTCGTCTGATTCCCTCCTCTTAGTCTGTGTATGTCTGGACCTGGCGCTTTCTTCCTGTGTACAGCGCCAGGCTCCTTCACACCTGGTGATGGATACGATGTATGTTTGGTATGCGTTCAAACATTGATTGGGCTAGTCATTAGCATTCTAGCATTCTGCTTTGCTATCTGATACTATGTGAATGAGGTCAGTCCCGGTCAGGTCAGGCTTTGTATCTAAGTCTTCCCTGCGCTATTCAGCACCATTTTGTATGTATTAGAATCCACATTGCTTGTTGAGATTCTACCTGCATGGCATTGTCCATTCAGTCCTTTTCATCACATTGCGGATCCTCGGTTTCTATGTACATCGCCCAACTGGGCATGTAACAGTTGGTATCGGTGCACCGCACATGAATCAGGACAACCTGATCTGACACGTGTGCGGGGACTAGGTAGCTGATTAGTCTTTATTGATTGATTAGAGCATACTAGTTAGCCCCCAAAGTCACGATTTTGACCTTACTACCAAAAATCAAAATTTGTTTCTTTTCTTGGATTTTGTTTTCTCGCTATTCTGCTGTGGAAAATCGCAATAGCGCAACATCTGAAATCTCCATTTTAGTTTTTCTTCTGAAAATTCGAAATTTCGTTGTTGAAAATCCGGAATATCCTTCTTTTCGAAAACTTCGATTTCCTGTTGCATTTCCCGTTACTTAGAAATTCGGAATATCTTCTTTTTCGAAATTCGTTTTTTCTGAAAACGGTACGGGAAATCCCTCCTGCAGGTATTATTTTCCAAACTGCGAATATTCTCATCTGAGAAAATCCGAATGTTTGTCATTTCTTTTCGGATTTTTTTTTTTTTGCAGTTCTAGGATTCTGTTAGTCAGTTCTATAAATCATTTGCAGTCTGAAGTCGAAATTTTTTCTCTCATTGATCATTTCGCACTTCAAAGGAGGTTGGGAGACCTACTGAACTTGCAAAACTCGGGATTTTTTTTATTTCGAATTTTTTTTTGCAAAGTTCAAACTTTTCCTTTTTGATTAGTGGCTCTTTATCTGGGCGATTCTCCCCACCCACCCTCCCCACCTATGTTCTTGCCCCCTCTGGCCTTACGTTCTCTATCCATCTCCGGGTACCCCCTGCGACGACATTGGTGAGTTGCCACGTCAGCAGGCCACGTCACCAGGCCACGTCAGCAGACTACGTTAGCAGGACACGCCAGCAGACCACGTCAGCAGGCCACGTCAGCAGGACACGTCACCAGGCCACACCAGCCAACAGAGCAGGAAATACCACGTCAGCAGGCCCCCGGCCTGGTATATGCTGTTGCGGTTACAAACAGTCGTCATGAACCAGAGGTCCAGAGAAGTAGACGAGGCCTATCAGGCCCGGATGCTGGCTTGGAGTACTGAAACGAAGAAACGGGCAGATGACGCAGCAGCAGCAGCGAAGAAGAAGGCAGAGGATGCCGAGCAGGCATGTCTGCTGTCACTTGAACAACAGCGCCAGCATGACGAGGCAGCAGCAAGGGCTGCCGATGAAGAAAGAAACCAACGTCGTGAGAATATATTTAGCGGAGAGCAGACTTTGCTCACAATGGCAGCGGCATGGCGGTCCGAGGCCGAGAATGGCAAGTTGGAGGATTGCGAAAACAAGATCGCTCTCCTCCTCTCGCATCTCACAGACCTTCTGGCAACCTGCATTACACAGCAGGAGGATATCCACAGCCTCGACGACTCGCTAGCTCAAGTACAAGGCCGCCTTCAGCAACTGAAGCAGCGACCTGACACCGCCCCCGATGCAAGCTCTTCCAATACCTCCGATCGCCTCGAAGCGTTGGAGATGGACGTCGGCTCCCTCAAGGACGGCGTGCAGTTACAGCAGACCGCAACGCAACAGTTGCAACAACGGATCTGTACTACCGCCAATACCTCAAGTTCGGAACCGCGCGAGATAGCTCCAAAGTTTGACGGGCAGGAGATCTTCTGCGACTCGACGAAGACAGATCCGATTCCATGGTTCCGCAAGTTCGAGCTCACGCTGCAGCTACACAACGTCAAAGAACACAAGCACCACGCATACTTGTACTCTCGCTCAGGGGGCGCGTGCCAGGCTTGGTTGGACAACCTCTTGTCCAATTATGGAGTGGTAGCTAACGACTTGCACACCAATCAGTTGGGATGATGTGAAGGCGGCGTGGCACAAGTGGTTCCAAGTCGAGCCGCCCGAGATCAAGGCTATGGACAAGCTGATGATCTTCGAGCAAGGCACGCTGCCTAGTACCGACTGGATCGTCGAGTACCAACGCTTGACGTCAGTCCCAAACATCCAGATGTGGTAGCTAACGACTTGCACACCAATTAGTTGGGATGATGTGAAGGCGGCGTGGCACAAGTGGTTCCAAGTCGAGCCGCCCGAGATCAAGGCTATGGACAAGCTGATGGTCTTCGAGCAAGGCACGCTGCCTAGTACCGACTGGATCGTCGAGTACCAATGCTTGACGTCAGTCCCAGACATCCAGATGGGCTTCAAAGCCATCCGCCACTATTTCATCTCAAGGTCATGTTCGGCATTAAGCAATGCCCTGACTCACGTCGAGGACACCTTGACGACGACGATGGAACTTTTTGACAAGGCTGCGCAGATTATCATCACGAACAAGGAAGCTAAGAACCTGCGTTCGTCTGCGTCAGGCCCGAGCAGGGACCAGCATCGGCCAAGAGTGGCTGTGGTCGCGGCGGCAACGCCGTTTGACCAAACCAGCGAAGCTGTGTCTGCCAGTGGAGGGGACAGACTCGCAGCCGCCCGGGAAGGTGGCCGCCCTGGCAGAGGCCGAGGACGAGGCAAGACGAAGACACACACCGCATCTAGCCCCGGGCCCGGCGCAGCAGCTCCAGCCCCTTGGTCCCAATACGGCATCTCCGAGCAAGCATTCAAGGCGCGCACGAGATTCCACTATTGCCTATGGTGCAACAGTGATCTTCATCAGACACTGGCCTGCCCATTGAAAGGCAAGGGCAAACAGGGAAACTGAGCACCGCCGAGAGTGACTCGACAACACTCTCGACGCCTCCGGAATCAGTTTCTTCGCGAGTAACCGGCCTTCATTCCGAGGCGCATGCGGAAGTCGATAGTCCTCCTCTTCTACTTTCTTTTGAGGAATATGCTGCCCGACTCGTTCCTACGCTGGGTACTCAGGCTGAAGGACAAGAATTGTGTACGGTTTCTTCTCCGTTCGGCAGCGACGACATATCGTCTTCAAGTGGTTCTTCACGGGAATCAACGCGCGAGTTCAACATAGAGGTATTGGACCCGCTCACGTCTGAGGACTTTGCATGGCTTCCTCTCCCGACCACGACCCGCTTGTCGGGACCGCAATGTGCAGTAGTATGCGCTCATCTCCATACTTACTTATCCTTCTATGCACCACCAACTTCGTTGACGGATGACGAAGTCGCGGTGGGGGACATCCTTGCGTATACTTCCAAGGTGGCCCGCGAGTTTCGCACATAGCGGTATGATGACAACAACGCACTGCTCATATATGTCCGCATTCAAGTTGGGCAAGCGTCCTGCAGCGCTTTGCTGGATAGCGGTGCGTCTCGCAATTTCATGAGCCAATCCTTTATGCAAAGGGCTGGCCTTGGCGCACAAGTTCGGAGGAAGGCAAACCCGACGGCGATCAAGTTGGCGGATGGAAAGACGCAACAACTTCTCGACCGTTACATCGAGGCCGTACCGGTTTATTTCGCACCTCATGCATGCGAACCGGTGACCTTTCATACTCTCGACATGGACTTCGACATCATTCTGGGAATGCCTTGGCTTGCAAGTGCGGATCACACGGTCAACTTCCACCGGCGGACTCTTAGCGTTCGCGATGCCTTCGGCGCGGAAGTGGCGTGTACTATTCCTTTACCGCACCCTTCAATTCGGTGCCAAGTGGTGACGGCCAAATCATTCAGGGCAACTTGCGCTTACGAGCCCGTTGCGGTAGCCGATGCTTCACCCACGGACTTGTCTTCGGACCCCCGGGTGGTGCGAGTTCGCCGACATCTTCGAGTCACCTACCGGTGTGGTGCCGGATCGGCCGATCTCTCACGAGATCATTCTTGAGGCCGGTGCCGTGCCGCCGAAAGGTTGCATCTATCGCATGAGTGAGGAGGAGCTTGAGGTCCTCCGCGCACAACTCGACGATTTGTTGGCCAAGGGCTGGATCCGCCCTAGCAGCTCCCCATATGGAGCACCGGTTCTCTTCGTCCGGAAGAAGAACAAGGATCTACGATTGTGTATCGACTACCGCAAGCTCAACGCGCAAACCGTCAAGAATGCGGGGCCTCTTCCTCGCATCGACGATCTTCTTGAGCGATTGGGCGGCGCAAATTATTTTTCGAAGTTGGATTTGAAATCGGGATATCATCAAATCTCGATCCGGCTGAACGATCGCTACAAGTCCGCGTTCAAGACGCGGTACGGGCATTTTGAGTGGGTGGTCATGCCTTTTGGCCCCACCAACGCCCCAGCGACCTTTCAAGCGACAATGACCAATGAGTTTCGTGCAATGTTGGACCGGTTCGTGCAGGTCTACTTAGACGATATTCTCGTCTATAGCCGGTCATTGGAAAATCATCTTGGGCATCTTCGACGAGTGTTGGAGACGCTCTGCCGCGCCAAGTGCAAAGACCAACCGCGACAAGTGCGAATTTGTCCGGCAAGAGCTGGAATACTTGGGCCATTTTGTCACACCGGAGGGCATCAGTCCGCTATCGGACAAGATTCAAGCCATCCAAGAGTGGCCGGACCCTCGGAACGTCAGGGATGCCCGTTCGTTCCTTGGCCTTGTCGGCTACTACCAGCGTTTTATCAAAGGCTACTCGAAGATCGCGGCCCACTTGACCAAGCTTCAATGCGAGGACCGACCGTTTGAATTCGGAGAGGAGGCGCGGGAATCATTTTTGGCTCTCAAAGCCGCGTTGTTATCAGCGGAGGTCTTGCGCATGTACGACCAATTTTTGCCTACGCGCATCACTATGGATGCGTCAGGCTATGACATTGGTGCAGTCCTCGAGCAACATGATGGTGTGGAATGGCACCCGGTCGAGTATTTCAGCAAGAAAGTGCCCATCGTGCATTCCATTGACGATGCACGCAAGAAGGAGTTCCTCGCCTTCGTCCACGCGCTCAAGCGGTGGCGACACTTCCTCCTTGGTCGAAGCCAATTTCGATGGGTAACGGACAACAATCCGTTGGTCTTCTATAAGACCCAAAACACCGTCAACAGCACCATCGCTCGATGGATGACTTTCATCGACCAGTTCGACTTCTTTCCCGATCACATTCCCGGGAAGTCGAACCGTTTTGCGGATGCTCTTTCACGGCGTGGATCATTGTACCGCGGTCTACTCAACCTTCGAGATCGACAATGACCTGCGGAAGAGGTTCTTCCGCGGCTACCAAGCCGACCCCGAGTTCTGAGACAAGTACGCGAATTGCTCCTCTCCTAATCCAGCGCCTTCTCACTAATGGATCCAAGAGGGGTACTTGCTTGTCCACATGCGGGGGAAGGACCTTCTTTGCATACCGAGTGATCCTCACTTGCGTACACGGCTTCTTGGCGAGTTCCACGATGCTCCCGCTGTCGAGCGCATCGGTTCGGCACCGCACAAGGCAGCGCGGGACCCTCCCGACCGCGTCACGTTGGAGTTGGCCTGAATCCTTCGTCGCGAACACATAATGGAGCTTTCGCAAGCCGCTCCGCTCGAGTGCGCCAGCCATACCTCTTGCGAGCCCCTACGACAAGATAGGGCGAGACACGACTTACCTCCACCTTACGGGAGTTGTCACCTCCCCTTCTGTGGGCGTATCCCCGCCGAGCTACCAGTCCACAATACGAAAGTTAATCAGCTGCAATCTGAGGTCCCAAGCGCGACTCGTCGCTGGTCGACTAGGACGTATCCCACACGCAACGCGCACACCACTATAAAGAACATAAAAATAAAAACACATGCATATATACAAACATATACAAAACGACAGAGGACAAACAACGCGACAACACTCCTAGTCCCTTAGTAGCCATCCCATAACTTTCCGATGCGGAAATCGGATAGGCGTYGCGCGCGAGACTTTGTATAAAACCGCGCGGACGCAGGGCTAACTCATATCGATTCGCAATGCAAGCGTACGCAAGCGATTGCAATGATGGCGTACTATGTAGTACCCATACTCATGCGGTCCTCGTTAATCTCGAGGGCCGCATTTGACACTCAAGTGTCGGCTGACATGCGCTTTGAGGGTTAATCTCTCGACGTTGGACAACCGCCAAGTGCGGTTGAGAACCACACCCTCTTCTGCACCCTGCAGAGAGTGGGTGGTACACAGGTTCATACCTGTGGTGGCAATCGTCTCTTATTGCCCTGGAGACCAGCTCCATCATCTAGGGCCTGGAGAGAAGTCAAGGGGTTTGACTTTGACGGCTGCCATAGATTCTGACGTCCAACTATAAAAAATTAACAAGCAACAACACTCATGTATCAAAATCAGAACTCAAGGTAAAATAAAAGAGGGGGAAACATAAACCCATCAGGTATGCAGATCGTGCGTCACATGGTTGTCATTCTCACTGCCTCCAAGGTATGACCCATATACCAAGCTCTAAAATACTAACTTGCATAAAACACAGGCACACACAATAGCCACATTGCGATACACCAATGTGGTCAACTTTACTGTTCCCTGTAACTCACACCACGCCTCACACACTCAAGCCCCAGTCATAGTTCAACTCTCCATAAATCTCATAAGTTCTTTATAATGGCCATTTAAAAAAAGTCCGGTTAAAGCCTCAAAGAAACATATCAATTCTCAGGGCTAAGGCAATCAAGTCGAGGTACAGGTGTAAACAAAGTTGTGTCGTGTGCCGACGAGTTGACGATCAACCAACCGACCTGTTATCAGTGATGACAGAATATGATCCTCGTAGGATCAAGCTGGAACTTGGTCAAAATCATGAATCAAATGTCCAAGGAAGACCTGTATCATAAGACAGGTCAATGCCCAAACTAAATCGTCAATGCATGGAGATCAAAGCCCCATGACACATTCTCACTCAAGACTCTTCTGATAGCCAAGTCTAGGTCTATCTCTAGGTCAGTGCTTAAAGACAGGCAGACGTACGGCAGAATCTCCCCCATACAGAGTGGATCGCCAGAGTCGCCACTTGTCAAAATATAATCTATCTCCTCTAAACTAAGAAAATTTCGGCAGCGCTTCCCGTAGGAAAAGTGTTTTTCCATAATTTATATCAGCCTAAATATGGAAACAAGAATAATCTTCAATCCTTCAAAGTCAAATTTTGTTTAACTCTCTGAATTAGCAAAAATTTAGGCAGCACTCCCTTTAGAAAAGGAGACTTCCCAAATTTTTACTAAGTCAGATATATAAAAATCAGACAAGTTGAACTTTTGAAAAGTTTGAGTTTTGACTAACTCCTTAGAGTTGCAGAAATTTCGGCAGCGCTTGCCGTAGAGAAAGTAGCTTTCCTAAATTTATACAAGGCTTAGTTCCGAATCTAAAATGACTTTGACTTCTCAAGGCCCAATTTTGTCTAACTCCCTGAATTAGCAAAAATTTGGGCAGCACTCCCTTTAGAAAATGAGAATTCCCAGACTTTTACTAAGCCAAAAGTCTGACAAACTGAACTTTTGAAAAAACAAAATCTGACTAACTCCTTGGATTTTTAGAAATTTCGGCAGCGCTTCCCGTAGAGAAAGTGGCTTACCAAGATTTATACAAGACCAAGTATAATAAAAGATCGCAGAAAATGCAGAAATTGATCTAAGTAAAAATAAACTTAGCTCAGAAAATGCAGGAATTGACACTAACTTCTATGGCTCTAGCACGTGGCGAGCATCTAAAGCAGCTACGTATCAAACTGAAACTCAGACTAAGTAGTAGCGTCAATCAGTCACATGCAGGCCAAACCACAAAGGTAAGTACTCTCACCATCCCAAGTCAACCTGGACAAACAATAGTTTGTAATCTTTCAGTGATTTATCCCTTTATACCCAGCTTACATAAGGCATAGAGCTAGACCACCCAAACTTATGGAACATGTCTAGCTCAGCCATGGAATATACACAAACACAGGGCACAACAACTTTTCTCTTCTTTGGGCATATGACTAGGGCACCCTAGTCGCCCTGAACTGTTTAAATATCCCAACTTTATATAATTGTCTGCACTTAGTCTTTTGAGGTAGCATATAACTGAACCGATCATCTTCAACTCAAGATTCAGTCTGCCCCTTCTTACCACATATTTATTCTTAATTAGTACTCTCTTCAGTTGGTGATAAGCTATACTCAGACCACCCAAACTTATGGAACCTGTCTGACTAGCCTGTTCATAGATAATATAATAATAGGATATAGCCAAGTTATACCCTTCAGGTTCCAGCATGTACGAGGCATTGGACCAAGGCCACCCAAACTTATGGAACTTGTCTGGTCCTTTGTCTGGTTCATTGTCTTAAAGCCAAAGCAAAAAGAAACTGAAAGAAACCCAAAGTAAGCAAGGCCGTCAGACTACCCAAACTTATGGATTTGACTGGCTCCTAAAAAGTCAACCGCAAGCAACCCTCACAAGTCAGAGCAGTCAGACTACCCAAACTTATGGATTTGACTGGCTCTCCACCCAATCCAAAAATAAACACAGCACTTGGCCTTCCGAAACTTATGGAACTGGCCCAGCCTTGGTTGACCCAGTCAAACTCAGGCTATACTGCCTTCCTACCAGATGCAACCCCACAATCTACTTTCAGTCAAACAACAAAGCTGAAACTGATTTCACACACACATTCCTTTACTTAGTCCGGATTGTGTCTTGAAAGGCAAACTGAAAGTCAAACTAGGGAGACAGGTAACATACTCAGTCAAAACATGCGATGGGCAATACAAATAGGGTTATAATCTGGGTTTGTAGAAGGAAAGCAATGGTCACCTTTCAGTTCCTTGCCTCCAGAACTCCTGAGTTCCGGTAGAGCTCCCGCAATCGGTGGGCAGACTCCCCACAGAGTCTTGCTGCGGTCGTACGGGTTGCAATCTCACCTGCCGTCTTCCTCTCAGAACAGGACTTAGACTTAGAGTAAGGGGGATAGGAAGAGAAATTTTAAGCCTCTCAGATCCCAGGGTGGTGCACTCAGACTCGCGCGAGAGGGCCTTGTAACCTCGACGCTCCTGAGGGCCCCGCAATGGCAGCCAAAATATATAGCAGCTCGGTCAATTCTGAAGCCAAACAGTCGGATGTTGACTCTCCAGCGACTCTCCAAGTCGCAGCAATATCCTCAGACTCCACAATGCTCGTACCCCATGCGCGTTCACTATAGATAACTTGCAAGTTAGTGGCCCAGCACCGACCACTTCAACCGGTCAAACAATCAACGTATCTAGCTATCAGCCAAATCTGTGCCCTGTGGTTGGCCTGTTTGTTGTTTCGGTCAACAAAATGAGTTGTGCGCTTGCCAGTAGATAAGTCTTCACTCTCCATGGCTGGCCTTCAGTCCTTTAAGTCAAGCAAACGTGATTCACAGTCAACCCTCGCAGCAGCCACGTACAACAATAATGTCCGGTCAACAACCCTGTACCTCTTTCAATCAGAACCAGCGGCACTCCGCGCAGCAAACCGACAAACATACAGCGCAGTAATAGCGCAGCGAAGGTACCTCAACACAACAAGTGTGGCATAACAGCAGCGAAATCCGGCCAGTCATGCAGCAGGTTGCTATAGCAGGACTGCACCTGAAGAACGAGACAGGTTGTCAGAATACTGCAAAAAATCTCCCGGTTCACCACCGAAAGCAGAGTCTTAGATCACATTGCTTGCTTAGGAGGCCAGCTTAGCTGAAGTAAACCGGAACTGATATGACACTGATTGTTGATCGCATAGTGAGCCTTGACTGTCGCAGCAAGTATGTATCAAACGCCACACTGGCAACCCGAGCATATGCGGGTGCTGGCTATGCAGATCGCCGCCGTGATCAGGTAGGCACTGCCACTTATTGTTGACCCCCCTCCCCCTCTTTCTTTACTCTCTCTTTTCTTCATCTCCTCCCAACTTGCTTCAATCTAGGCCATCCGAAGAAGTGAGCATAGTCGCTCTTCTAAGAACGTCTCGGCTCATCCCACATCGCCCGTTGTGCCTCCACATGCCAGTCCCAACTGCGAAGTGTGGGCCTACCACGATATCTAACTCAGCCCGCCGCACTAGTTCACTGTATTGACTGCGAACAGCTGCCACCAGCCCGCTCCTGCTCGATTAGCTGCGGATGGCCTTCTCCTGCTCGTTTGGCTGCGGACAGTCTGCTCTCTTTCTCTCTTGCGCTTCCTCCGCCTTCCGCCCAGCGAGTGGCTGCATCTGGCCATCAACCCTGACCAAGTTCATTCAACCCCTGCCCCCTGCAGTACGAGGGAGGGGACTCGTGGCACGACTATTACTGATGAGTGCGAAGCACAGTGCGACCCCAAGTAAGTTCTTGAATCTTCCTTGATTCTTTCCTTTTCTCCGGAGCCAGTTCCGACGTCAAGGTGTGAGTGGACCGCGCAGTCCAACACGGCTCGCCTCTCCCACTTACTCGATTGACTGTAAATCGCCCGTTCGTTCGTCCCTTAGGATGTCGCAAAAATGAAAATGAATCTTCCGCTAGAAAGCGGATAGATTCCTGTCTCCCAACCATACGCACAGAGTGCTAGGGAGTGGCCTCTCTCACTAATGAGATGAGCAATGCACCGTTCAACATGATTAGGTAAGCCTTTTTTAATCCCGCGACTGGCTTCCCGTCTATTACATCGATAGGATGGACAAAAAGTCGACTGAATCTTGTGCTAGAGAACACGGAAATATACATTGCTACCTTGAAACTCCCCTCCCTCGCAATACTTTCTCTTTCTACCTCCTAAACTACTAACTTCCTACTAATTCTAACTTCAGGATCGGGCTCGCAGCCCCCGAAAACCCCCGCTTTGACTCCTCCCTTGCCCAAATCCACTCACTAACGAGCGAGAAAGGCCCTCCTCCCTTTCCTTCGCGGCCGCCTCCTTCCATAGCTCCGCGCGGCTCGTTTTGCTGCTACCACCTATTCTACTGTCCTAACACCAAACCCGACTTCACCATCATATTCGCCTCGCAGGAAAACCCCTATATCGCATCTTTCCCCGCCTGATTCCATCAGGGAACGGGCGGGCTATGCGATCTTCACCTTCATCATATCTTCCTCCCGCCATATCTCCGCGCATCTCTTACCTCCGCTAACTCTCCGTCCTCTCACTCCCTGCCCAAACTAGCTTCCTAAACAGACTCGACCGGGGTCAAAACCCCAGGATAGCCATCTCACCTAATCGATTCCGTTAAGGATCGATAGAACCCGGCGTTTTCCTCCATCTTGCCACTCCCTCTGGCTTCGACCATAGCCCATGACTCCCATCTGCACCCAGCGCGGATTCGCGCCAGGTTCATTTCACTACTACTATCCACCCGTCGCCTCTCACTAGCACAAACCGGCCGCTGCGCTATCCGCCCACTGCCTGCTCCGCTTTCACCCTGCATGCACTCATCGTCTCCCCTGGCCCGGATTCACCATCCCTTCGGCCACCTGTAGCCTAGTGCTGCCTGCCTACTCGCTTGGCTGCGAACAGCACCAGCGAGATCGCAGGATAACCACACTCTTCGAACAACAGCGCGCATGAACGAACTACCGACCGCTTTGGCCCACAGCCGGATGCCACCGTTCGCCCGAAAGGCCACGAAAGCCCAGTGTGCCGCCTCATTTCTGCACCCCGCCACGAGTCAGGGGAAAGAATAGATGCCCCACACTCTCGACATGCTGGGACGGACCGAAAGCCTCCACCTGTGCACGCGGCCCCAAGGGGAACACCCCTCCCTTTTTTTCTCTACCTGACCGCGCCCAGTTGCAGCGGGCACCACCGACAGAAGTCAGCGCGGGCAAAACCCAAGAGACCCAGGACGATGGCCTTCACAACCCACAACCCAAACGCAGCGGAACCACATTGCACTTCACTCCGTCACGATGTGCAGCATACCGGGACCACAGCATGGGGTGGGGGGGGGGGGGGCTTCTGGCATAGCCCGTTGAACCCTTGTCGGGGCCTAATACACAGCCCGCCGGTCTCAACGGGCACACCCACACCTAAACCCTCGCAACAGACATCCGGTAGCCGGCCATATACCCACAACGGCCCCCACTACATAGGCCTCTTTCCGCCTTGTGGGCTAATTACCCACCGGCCCGTACGCACATTGCACCCCCTGGCTCGCACTCCAAAATACTTAAGGTAGGTAATTTTTGCCAGCATCCGTGAGTCAGCCGAAAAAAGGCGCACGCTCAACATCCTCGACCGCCGTGGTGACCATTAAGTCCGGCGTCACGTCCGGATTACGCAAAATGTCGGAGACTACAAAGATTAATACAATAATTATTTAATATAAAATATAAACAAACGTTGCGCGTCCCGCTGGCCCACGACGCCGCGCACGCCTAGGTAACGCACGGTTGCGCCTCGCCGTCAATACCCCACGCGCGCCACTCACCCTGACAAGGACCTATGCTTCCTCTCACGCGCACGCCGTCGGGCGGGCGAGGCTGCACTTGCGCGACTTGCAAAAGGCACGCCAAATACCCTTATAAGGGTATTTGGTACGACACCGCCACCGGACACTTTGGAGTCAATCGCACGATTGGCCGACTTCGCCAACGATTTTGGTGGCCCGGCCTTCTCGGCGACGTCACGCGCTATTGTGAGTCATGCGAGGTTTGCCGACGCTGCAAATCCTGCAACCATCATCCGTACGGCAAGTTACGACCATTACCGGTCCCGTTGAGGCGAAGGGAAGCGATTGCCATGGACATTACTCGCCCGTTCCCCAAGCACAAGACCGGAGTGGATGGGATTCTCACGGTGGTCGACCGACTCACCAAGTTCGCCATGTTCTTGCCTTGTCGCTATCATGCCAAGGCACCAGAGTTGGCCGAGGTTCTTTACGCCGGTTGGATTCGAACCAAGGGTTACCCCAAGGAGATCGTCTGCGACCGCAACACCCGATTCATGTCCGATTTTTGGTTGGTGCTCATCAAGCGATGGGGCTCATCTCTCAAGCCCAGTTCAGCTCGCCACCCCCAGACCGATGGCCAAACGGAGAGGGCGCACCAGACCGCACAGGTTCTCCTTCGCACTCTTATCCGTCCGGACCGGAAGGACTGGGTTGAGTGGCTGCCGGATGTCGAGTTGGCCTACAACTCTTCCATCTACCCGGCTATCGGGATATCGCCTTTCGAGTTCGAGCACGGCTCGCCGGTCACTTCACCGTTGGACACTATTACTCCACGAACGGCCGAGAGCGATGACCATCTTCTTTTCTTGCGTTGGATGCAAGAGCTTCTTGTCAAGGCACGCGACCAAACGACTAAGACGCAGCAGCGCAGGAGCCAGCAGGCCAATCGCCAGCGTCTTCATTGCCCATTCCGCGCCGGCGACCTCGTTTGGGTTTCCGCAGCGGAATTCAGCCTTGAACAAGACATCTCGCGCAAGCTTCTCCCGAAATGGATGGGGCCTTGGCCGATCGTGGCACCCGCTGGGGATGCACCTGAGGGACCTTCCTTCACGATTCAGGTGCCCGCCCACTTGCCCGTCTACCCAGTCTTTCATTGCTCCAAGTTGGCTCTTTACACGCCAGCGTAACATGACGATTTTCCCGGGAGACGTTCGCAAGACCCACCCTCCATGGATGGTTTTCAGGAGGTCGGCGACATCATCTCCCAGCGACGCTACGACAATAGGTCAACCGAGTATTTAGTGCATTTTGCATACTGCACACACCGAGCTGACCGTTGGTTGACCCGTGCGGAACTTCAAGCAATAGCTCCAGACGTTCTCGCACGCTACGAACGCAAGATGCAAGGCAAGCCAGTTTTTTTGGTTCCGGGCCACGCCCGCGTCCAGGTTCCACCTTCAGATCGTCGGCTTCGCCCTCGCCCCGGCTTGACTTCATAAGGAGGGGGGGGTGTTACATGTTGCGCCTGCACACGAGGGCCATTTTCCAGGCCCTGCGTCCCTCCGGCTGAAAGCCTGAAAACCAGGGCCTACAGGCCCCGTGACAGTTCAGCCCGAACGCTTGAAAACAGGGGCCTACAATCCCTGTGTCGTTTCAGACTAAAAATGGCAATAGCCTTTTTAGCCTGAAACGAAGGGCCATTTTCGGTCGTTCATCAGAACGACCGGCCCTGAAA